TCCAAGAAATATAATTTGAGAATTTGAGAAATTGTTTCTTTAGATCAGGGTTTCCTCTTTTAATTCCATGGACTGTATACCAGGTGAGTGCAATGTTTGTATCCCTTTCCAGAATAATGTCTTTTAAGTGCATAAGATTGTTAGAGTCTGTAAACAAGTCTGGATGGCGCCTGGCAAAATGCCAGAGGGAGTGGTTTGTGAAGTAATGCGAGCGAGCCATTAAGTGTGGAGATTTCTTATTGGTTGACTGATGTATCTAGTTTATGCTAATTAAGATAAGCTGTGTGGAATGTATAAATACCGCTCCTGTCCTACAATAAACGGCTCCCACTCCTGCTGTATCAATCTACACAAGTTGTTCGTCACCCCCTGGTTATTTTGCTGCAGCCGGACTGCGGCATAAGATGAAATATATTTAATTGAAAAATAAACTAATTGTAGCAAATCTATTATGAATTCATTCTTGTGGTGCTGGGTATTGAGCCCAGAGCCATGCACATGCCCGTCAGGTATACTACCAGAGCTACACCTCAGCCCACATTTATCAAAAGATTTTAAAAAATCACATTTATCATATAGTAATAATATATGTGCTTTTCCATCAGTATGTTAAACAAAAAGCTCTTGGGGCAGATCTAATACCTGTCCTAATTTCAATGTAATAGCATGTATGAATTATATTTTGTGATATCTACAACACTATGAGATAGTTGATTTTTACTGGTGACAAATCATGTACTGCTCATACTACAGTGATTTATTGCCTACATTCATAATAGAAGAAAATATTAAATTTAATTTAGGGGATAGTGAAAATAAAAATGTAATTTCCCCCCACCTCCAGCTTTTGACTTCCTTGAATTCTATCTCTGGATACCTTGTGGAGTCCAAAGACCTGATATTAAGAAACTTTGCTTTAATAAACTTGCTGTTAGATTTTTTAAAAAACATTCTTACGAATACAATATCTATTTTTTTCTCTTGTTATTTCTCTGATGTTGGAAGCAGTAAGTTCTAAACACACATTGTGTTCAATATTTAATTACTTATTTTACTTTTATTTTTTATTAAAAGAGACTCAGAAGGACACACATATATTTCTTATTTGTCTTACTATGTGTTATGTACTGTTCTAAGTACTTTAAGAATATTAATCATTTAACAACTGTTAACCAGTGAATACCAGTGAAACTATATTCAAATAACTGTTTACCAGTGAAACTGTATTCAAATTTATATAGACATGAAGTATCAGCAGATTTCTCAATTGGTTGTCATTCCTTTTTCTTACTCCTACTTTGTTCTTTTCTATTCTTTGAATTTAGCAAACAATTCTAATATTTTCTTCTTTTTTCAGAAAATAGTCTCTCTATGTAATTATGGCATAACAATGCTTTATTTTTGTGCAAATTTTTGCCGTCTTCATTACTTTTATTCTGCTTGGGACTTGTAATGTTTTATTAAAAAAATATTATTTTTGTGTGCTGTGGTTGAACCCAGGGCCTCAAGCATGCGAGGCAAGTCTCCACCAAGGATTTGTAGTGTTTTAAATTTTGGGGGGATCCTGTGGCTTCACACTGATGGATAATTTTGGAGAATTCTTCGGTATCCTGTCTTCAGCTATTGCTCCTGAACCATTCTTTCTTCTTGCCCCTGGTATTTGAGGTACATCTACTCTAACCCTTTTATGGTTAAAGCTTCACATGGGATGTAAATCGTATACGTGTCTTATGATCTGTGTTTTTATCCATTTTGCTCTTTAAACTTGTGTCTAGATGCTTTTTAATGATTTATTTTCCTCTTCACTAATCCTCTCTACAACTGTGTCTAATCTCCTGTTAACCTCAACTAAGCAGTTGAATAATTTCAGTTGTGTCTTTCAGTTCTAGAATTTTCATTAGATTCTTTTGTAAAAAATGAAAGTCCAGTTCTCTGATGAAATTCTCTTTTGTCGAACATACTTTCATAACTCCTTAAAAGTCTGTGTCTGAGTCAGATAATCAATTTTAACTGAGTCATTTGTGGGGCTGCTTCTCTTATCTAGTTTTTATATGGACTCTATTTTGCACGATGCCTGATCGTCTTTGGTGGATAAAAGATTACAGAGATTCTGATACTCTCTTCTTCCTTCCTCTGGGAGACAATTAGAGGCAAACGGCATTTCCTCAACCAGCAAGCATCCAAACTAATTTGAGGCTGGGCTGCACTTTTGGTGAGCCTCATTTGACCTCTGCTTTATTCTAACGCCCACAGACCCCACGTCAGAGCCTGGGGCTTTGCAAGTGCCCTCTTCTTGGTGGGTCCCACAGTCCAATTTCAACCTCCTCATCATCTTCGGATTTGAAAACGCCATCCAGCTATTCGGTTGTTTCAGTTAGGCTCTTAGCTTCTTGATAAACCTCTAAACGTAGCTCAAGCATCAAATGATGGGAGAGGCAAACAGTGGGGAGCCTCAGGTCTCCCTCTCCACCGCTCTCCCCTCTCTGTCCCTCTGGTTCTCAGCTAGCGATTGCCCTGACAGCCTCTGGCTCTCCCCACCTTCCGCGGCCCCAGTCCTAAGGGATTGCCAAAAACTCACCATTGAGTCTCAGGTTTTAGCTTAAAAAAGTAACAGATAAAATGCTGGCTCCCTATTTGGAGCTTCCTGTCTTTCTGGATCCTAGCACTTCTGGAAGGTTTGATGATCTGCCAATCTGATGACTCTTTGTATTTTATCCAGATCTTCTTTTTCAGACTCAGAAGCAAGGAAATTGACCTTTTTTAAAAAAACCAATATGTTATATATATATCCCTTCCCTACTCCACCCCCCCGCAGTGCTGAGGATTGAATCGGGGGTCTTGCAAGGCAAGTGCGCTACCACTGAGCTTCATCCCCATCCTCCCCGTTCCCATTTTTGATCTCCCCAAGAACCCTATGTGATGGAAAGGGCCTAGGTCTCTACTCCCATGTGACAGGAGAGGTTGTTGAGTGGCTGAGGTGGGAGGTCTCCAGAGTGGAGCAGAGGGTTCTCATCTGTTTCAAGACAGAGCTGAAACTAGAACCCGGGTTTCTTGGTTCCTAGCCTAATATGTTCCTCCACACGTCCTGCCTCTCCATGATTCTGTTAGGGCTGCCATGACAAAGTACCAGTCCGGGTGCTTAGAAAGCAGATTTCAAGGGTCTGAATTCTCCTTTCTTGGCATACAGATGGCCATTTTCTTGCACTACGTCTTCCTTCTGTGTCCTGAACTATTCTCACTTCAAAAAATTGGTACATGGAAATTACACACCATAGTGGGAATTCTTGTGATATATTCTTGACTGCACAGAGCATGATGGAGTTAATTTCATTCCCCAGTACCTGCCCTTGCCCTCCCCTCTGGCCTCCCTGGGCTCCTTCCTCTATTCTACTGGTCTCCTATTTTCATGAGATTCCCTCCCTCTTCCCCCTCTTTTTTTCCTCTAGCTCCCACACATGCTAATTTCTTCTTATAAGGACACCAGTCCTATTGGGACCCCTCTCATGACCTCATTTTAACTTAATCCTCTCCATACAGACCCTTTCTTCAAATACAGTCACATTCTGAGATACCAGGAGTCAAGACTTCAATATATGGGGGAAAAAATGGGGACAGGGTCATAATTCAGCCATGTAAGAGCCCAGGAACGTAAATACCAGATTTTCTTTTATTTTGAAACAGGGTCTCAAGACACATTGGCAAGATGGGCCTCCTGTCTCAGCCTCCTGAGTAGCTGGGATTAGAGGTGTGCGCCATGACAGGCTGGATTACCAGTTTTCTTAAAAACTTCTATAATTAAATGTGTCAGTGACCTCTTTGTCTTAGCACAGAGTTCTCCAAGTGTGTCACCGTCTCCCCTACAATGTGCAGCTTCAGCATCAACCTCCGGATCAGCATCAGCACGCACTGGTTAGATATGCAAATTCCTCACCCAGACCTCTCAATCAGAGACTCTGGGGGTGGGCCCAGCAAACCCTCTAGGTGATCCCCATGCCTGCTCCAGTTTGAGAACGTGGCCTTAGCAGTTAGGCCCAGGGCACCCCTAATGCAGAGTTGGTTCAGCTGTAAATTCTGGTCATGCTCTTCCCGAGTCCTTCTATAAAGGATGTCTCTCCCGAGACAGCAGTTTATGATTGATGGCTGGGCTTGTCAGATAGCAGCATTTAAATCAATGCTCATCTGTCTTGTGGTATCATTCAGCATTCAAATATCACCAACTCATTGGAGGATTTATAAAGGAGGCAACTTTCAGTAGGAAGCTTACTTATTTGAGATTCTTTGCTAATCTGGGCTTTGGTTTTATTATCTTGAAAATGAGAAATCTGCATTCCTTTTCTAGCTCTGATAGTCTGTGCATCCATATGACTGACTCAGAGCAACTAATATCACAGCGACTACAAAGGGTTGTGATTTTATGGGATTCCCTGAATGATCAGAGTAAATGCACCAAACTATGCCAGGAAGAGCTTCAAACTGGAAGTCTCTAGAGGTGTATGAGGTTTGAACACAATTGTCTTAGTCTACTTTGTGTTGCTATAACAAAATGCCAGATGCTGGGTAATATAAAAAGAAAAGAGATCTGTTTAGCTCACGGTTCTGGAGGTTCACGTGCACGATACCAAGCACTGCTTGGCTTTGGTGAGGGCCTCATGGCAGATGGCATTGCAGTTGCAGGAGTGTGTTGCAAGAGTGAGGAGTGGCACCAGTGGAGGAGGGACTCAGGGAAGGTGCCAGACTTCTTATAACAACCCATTCTCCTAGGAACTAGTTCAGTCTCAGGAGACCTGATCTACTCCTGCAGGGCAGCATCATCCATTCATGAGCCCCCAGGACCTGGCTGCCCTCCACTGAGCCTAAAAGGTTCCACCAGCTCAACATGGCCACATGAACTCAGGGGACACATGGCTTCCTGCACACGAACCTTGGGGACAAAACACATCTAAACCAGAGCACTAGTCACTGAGGTCTGTATGTCATAGGTGACTGACAGATGCGGGAGGACTTAGAATCAGTATGCTATCCTCTGGATCCAGATGTCTCCAGACCCAGGATGCAGCTTCACCTTCTGGTGGCCTCAGTGGCATCGTGGACTCAGTGTTGTCCCCTCACCCCTGCGCTCTCACCGCCATGCTCACCTGCTTGCCTATACAGAAGCTCTTTTGATCTTCTAAAGCTTTACAAAAGAGGTGAGCCAAGTTTGATCATGCCCATTTTCCTGCACCCTGGAAACCTGGGGTCAGTTCACATTTGCCCACATTTCCAATCTGGCCTCCAAAGGAGTCAGGAAGGAGACCCCCTGGCCTGGCTCCCAGGCCTTCCCCGCTCTCCCAAATCTTCATTTTGGGACTGTGAGTAAGAAGGAGAAAAAACCCGCCACAAGCAGTCTTCTGAAAAGTGAGGCGAGCCTTGGGGGTGCTGCTCGGGGCGGCCAGAGCGCGGATCCCCGTGCAACCAAATTTGGTTTTAAACCCTCGGAGCTTATTCAGGGGTCAGGTCGGGATGGAGTGGGAGAGTAGGTAGAGGAAGACCTGTTTGCTTCCTTTATTCATTTCCTCCTTGTCGCGGCAGGAAATGCAACCAACTGGGGAAGTTTCCCAGGTCACCGTTTGCTCTTACTTAGGGGGACTTGGCCTCAGTGGAGGAAATCGGTGGGTGCTGAGGGCCTTGGTGGGCATGGCAGGTGCTGAGCGTGCAGGGAGGTGGTGGCTCAGCTGGGAGGGCGGACGTGGGTCGGTGTGCTGCGATCCTGCGTCACCTGCAGTTTGGTTATTTAAAATTATCAGGAGGTGATGGCGCCTCAGGTGGCTCTGAGTGCGTCTCTTGGAAATAATGTCCTTATGTGCGTTGGAACTAAATCTGGGTGTTCCAGCCCCCTTGACTCCACCACCCGCAATCTGAGGCAGACCCCAAGCCCCTCAGCGTCCTCTTATGTCCGAGTGGGCTGTGCCTCAGCTGGTTTGGGAAGATGGTTCTCTCATTAAAACACCCCCCCCCCACACAACTCCCCACCCTGCAGCCCTCTTGCAATTTGCTGTAGTGTTTTGCAACTGACCACTCAAGAGGTTCTTCAGTTACACCGAAATCCTTTCGATGTCTACACTGCTGTTTTCTGCCTTCTTATTCCCAGAGCATAAGTATTTTCCAACTTGAAGGTCACCCTGTGGTGCCTGCTTGGACCCTCCTCCAGGGCTGGTACCGCACCCAGAGGGCAGGCCACCGTAGGAGCACACGCTCAGGAGAGGGGAGCTGAGCACTGCTTGGTCTTAAGATCTCGTCTCACTTCTTGCCAGGTGAGTTTGGGACTCTCAGTTTTGAGTCCATGTCTTGGAATTACATAGGGTCTCTGCTGAGCTTGGATCTTAAGTGTGTTCAAGGCTTGGTCCTTAAGTTGGTGCTGTGGGAGGTGGTGAGGCCTAGTGGAGGTCTTTCTGTCATGGGGGTGTTCCTTCAAAGAGGATACTGGGACCCCAGCCCCTTCCTCTTCCTCTTTTGCTTCCTGGCCATGTGGTCAGTGGCTTTGCCTTCATGTGCTCCTACCGTGATGAGCTGCCACAGGCCCAACGCCACGAGGCAACCGTTATCATGAACGGAAACATCTAAACCTTGTCTCTTCATAAGTTGATTACCTTGGGTGTTTGTTATAGTAACCAAAAGCTGACTAATACAGTCTCTTTCATAAACCCCAACCCACCTTTTTATCTAAAAGTACTCATTCATTTGCTCTGTGGGCTGCTAACGAGACTTCTAACTAACGGCGAGATATTATCACTGTGCATTTATAAATAGGTGAGTGGTCAAGTAAATAAGAATGAAGAGACTTTCTCAATTTTGCCCATCTCTTCCTTCTTCTTTATGCAGCTGAGAAAGCCTTTTCTACCTGTAGGACTGGTTGAGCTGAGGTTCCTTGTGGGCACCTGGCCTAGCCTACCCCTGTGACTTGCTTGGCTCAGTTCTCACAATGAGGTGCCATCAGGTCCTTTCCTGGGAATCTGTGTCAAGGCCTGGAGGGATGTTGCAGTCAGTTGTTCAAGAGCAACTAGACCTGAAAGGTCATGGAGGCTCGGGCTCGGGTAGGCACTTTCTGGGTTGGGGTTAAGATGAACAAGCAGAGGACTTTTGTTTAAAGAGAAGACAACTAGAGCAGGATTGCAAACAAAGAGAACCAGAGAGTCTCAGAGACTCAGATATGGAGTTTTATTTCCCGGTTCCCGAATCGGGTCCCTGGGAGGCCTAGTTGTACTTCAGTGGAATTATGTGGAGGCTGGGAGTCACTTTGCATCTGCCCTTTCTCCGGATCCAGCTTTCAAGAGCCTCAGTTTGCAACCTCAAAAAGGGCTGGCTGGAGGCGCTGCTCCGCAGGGGAATGGATTTTTATTCGATTCTGAGATCACTCTGGAAGATGCTGCCTGTGTTCCCGAGGACCTCGTTTCGGCTTTTTCCTTTTTCTTTTTTAATGGAAGAGGGCAGCCTGAAGGGATGTGTCTGGGGAAAGATGACTTCTGGTGCTTCCTCAGTTCCTGGGCTTTATGTTTGCCTGGGGTTCGCTCCGAGCATCCGCATCGCCCACGGTTCCAGACTTCCAGTTGCCCCTTTGAAGCCCCACCGCCTGTCATCAGTGTTTGCTTTAGAACAAGACAACAAAACACCCATGTTGCTCTCGAGCTGGAAGGGCTGTTTCTAAGTCTCCTGGTCCCTCGACTCCTTGATGCTATTGCAATAGAAATGTGGAACAGACACCTACTCGGAGAAGAAAGAAAATATGCTGCTATGTGTCTAAGCACAGATGCGCCTCAGAGGTTGTTGTTGTTGTTGTTATTTCACAGCGAGGGTCTTGCCAGCCATTATGGTAGGAAGCGAAGACACCTGGTTTACATTAGCAGGACTTGTGTTTCCGACTGGTTCGCCGACGACGTTGGGGCAGGGGCGAGTGAGGCTAGGAAAGCAGCTCTGATCCTTCCCGGGATGTTTGGATCGCTGTTTCCCTCTGTTCTTTCCTGTTGCAGTTCCTTGGTCTCTTTCTGCACAGCTGCCAGCCCAGGTGGGTGTGGCTGTCCCTCAGCAAGGGAGGCAGAAGGCCAGATGCTTGCACCCTGGGAAGGGTCCAGAGTCTCTGTCTCTTGGGCTTTTCCCTCTCCTAAGTGCCATGTGCTTTAGTCCCTTAAAAGTGACTGTGATTCCAGGGCACAGGACACGAGGCTGTGCGGTGGGGCTTTCTCGGCCGTCCTTTCTTTCCTGGTCTTGTCTACCTGCAGAACAAGACCCAGACTCGTGGATCTGAGTGACTTCTGGAAACCCACGTCTCTCCTTCCCGGTTGATGGCCGACTTTCATGCTCCTTAGGACGATGAGGGGATTGTTGAGGCAGTCAACTGCGTTCCAGTTGGAGGCTACGGGGAGTTGCTGGTTCTGAATAATTTATTCTAATTTGTTATATATGACAGCAGACTGCATTTCAACTCATAGTACCCATACAGAGCACAATTTTTTCATCTCTCTGGTTGTACACAACGTAGGGTCACACCATTTGTGTCTTCACAGATGTACTCAGGGTAACGATGTCCATGTCATTCCCCTGCCTTTCCCACCCCCATGGCCCCTCCCTTCCCCTCCCTCCCCTTTTCCCTATCTAGAGTTTGTCTATTCCTCCCATGCTTCCCCCCCATTGGCATTATGAATCAGCATCCACACATCAGAGAAAACATTCAGCATTTGTTTTTTTGGGATTGGCTAACTTCACTTAGCATTATGTTCTCCAGCTCTATCCATTTACCTGCAAATGTCATGATTTTATTCTCGTTTATTGCTGAGTAATATTCCATTGTGTATATATACCACAGTTTCTTTATCCATTCAGTCTATTGAAGGGCATCTTTCTTTCTTTTTTTCCCTCCCTCCCTCTCTCTCTCTCTCTCTCTCTCTCTCTCTCTCTCTCTCTCTCTCTTTCTTTCAAGAAGTTTACCATCCGACTATATAGATGCATAAAGACAGCGTATCTAAGGGCAAGGAAAGAAAAGATCAATTTTATGCAGGGACCCAGGAAACACTAGAGAAAAGGTCCAGTTAGGCTGGGCCTTGAGGAGGAAGGATCTGGCCAGGGTCCTAGGACAGAAAACCTCATTTAGCAGCAGCTTGAGCAAACACTGAGCAGCCGGCGAGCATAGGGCCAGTGAGGAACAGCCCAGGGCTGGTGTGTGGTGGGTGTGCGAGAGCTGCAGACGGTGTGCGTGAGGTTGAAAAGGGAGGCATTGTGGTAGGCCGCGGGCCTGCACCTTTGAACCTGCGCGGAACAGTCCGATAACGCATTCCTCTGCCATCTGTTTGAGATAGAACCTGGCCAAGAACAGGCGATCGATGCATGTTTGTAGAATAAATTAATAATAAATTTGCTCTGGGTCCAGTGGCCATAAAAATGATGGTATCCAGAGGCAATAGATTGTCAAAGAGCATGGATGTCGGAGACGGAATGGCTAGGTTTAAACCTTAGCTATCTTAAAAAGTCCAAAGGCTAGCTGGGTGCAGTAGCACATGCCTGTAATCCCAGCAAGTCTGGAGGCCAAGGCAGGAGGATTGGAAGCTCAAGTCCGGCCTCAGCATCTCAGTGAGACCCTGTCTCCAAAAAAAAAAGCTTAAAAGACAAAGTTTATTAATTAATTAAGAAAAAAGAAGGTAAAAAGGCAGACAAAGGGCCTAATGAATATGGTTCTTATGCAGACAGTAGAAGTTTTATGCAAGAAAGTGATTGTGGGATTCGTGAAGGCCTAGGGACGTATCTCTTTTGAATGCCAAAGATCTCCTCTTTGCAGTAAATGCTCAGTCACTTTAACTTTAGTGAGCCAATGCTTCCTACTGTCTTGCTCACCATCATCACAGGTAGCAACTGTTTCTCCACTGGTTTTGCCCATACATGTCTTTTCTCTAATTTGTCACATTGAGGGGACAAAACCCTTTTCCTCTACCCCCTTAAGTCCAGCAAAGGAGACCTGCAAATTAATCTGACCAAAGACAGATTAGCAGGAGAACAGACCGATTTTTATTCATGTGAGTACAGGAGGGTTCATAGAAAAATGTGACTGAATGAGGTCGTCAGGATTTAGGGCTCTTATGACATCTTAATGGAGGACAGGGATGGGGAGGGAAGGGTGCTTCTGGGAAAATGAATGGCTTTGGGGAAAGATAAGTAGGCCCTTAGGAGACGAGCTGGGAGACAGGATGGTCTTGGGACAGTATCTGTTTAGGTGATTTCTTAGCTGGCGCTGGACTTCTCTGTGGAACTAGGAGTCAATATTCACTAATTGTGAAATTCCTGGGGAGGGGATTTATGACAGTTGAATTCTTTTGGGAGGCTCTGCTTTTAGGCAGATAAGGAGAGTTTAGGAGGAGGAGGAGAAAGGAGGAGGAAGAGGAGGAGGAGGTGGAGGTGGAGGTGGAGGAAGAGAAGATCTTTATAGTGGTATAACCTGGATCCCTTCAGGATACCGGCTCCCTGAATGTCACCCAACCACCTCTGTTTACCATGATCCCGTAGAGACCACTCAGACAGAGCTTCGACAGTGCTTGTAAAGGGAAGGGCAAGGTGGCATCTGGCCAAGAACTGGGCACTTGGCTTAAGGCCTGTGTTTTCAGTGTGGCGGTTCCATTAGGACCGAGTGAGGATCACAGCACAGGGGTCCAGGAACACTGGGAAGAGTGTGGCGAGGATTTTGAGGCCAGGCATTCAAAACCCCTGGGACTCACATGGCCTGTTTTCCACTGATGGATCACTAGGCCTTAGGATGTCCCTGAAATGAACAATCAAGTCATCGGCACTAGGGTCTGCAGGAATGGTAAACTCATGCCCCTGGAGAGCACAGAGGAGAGTCCCATTAATTAGAATGTTAAAGGGGGGCTCTGGGGAGTGTGGTGGTTTTCGACCTGTATCCAAAGCTGGGTGGGGAGTTAGATGGTTTCCCTTCTTATGCTTCACTGTAAGACTAAAAGGAAAATGGCGGACATACAGCAAACACCAATGGGCACCTACCTGTGCGCTCTTACTTCTGCTACTTTCCCTTTCAATTTAATCTCCTTCCAGGTCCTGCCTTCAGGTCACCCCGTTCTTTCCATGGAAGATTCACTGTGAACCTCCGAGACCCAATTTACTTTGATAGCTTACTTGGGCAGACTTGAAAATGGAACAGATTCTAAAGCCATTACACCCACTGTCTTCTCTTTATTTTTGAGCAAAGCGAATAACTCTTCCCCCACCATGGCAATATTCCCAGGGGGGAAGGAAGTTGCGTGTGGCCAGATATTCC